ACAGCAGAAATCAGAAATTATCAGCACATTGCATTAAACGCCATAATATTGAACTGGGCGTTGCGTTGTATTGTGACAATTTCTGTTTTTTGTATTGTGACAAGTTTATAAATTTGCCAAAAAAATGTTTTAACGCCTAAAGTAGATCGTAATTAGGGCGTTGTTGAGCGCAATAACATTCAATAACTCAACTTTCCCGGATATTCAACTCTCCTGAAACATTTTATAGCTTATACATTTATTTTAATAAAAAAATCTAAAAAAAATTTTTTTTTTTTTTTATAAAAAGTTTAAAAAAGAATATAAAAAACATACAAAACTTCACTTAACAATAGAAAAACATATAAAACTAACAGCAAACATACAAAAAACTAAAACAAACTTAAATTGGTAGAAATTGTACATTGTCAAAATTTATCAATTAAATATAAATAAAATATAAACATACATGTAAATAAACAACTGTATATGATGTCAATACTAAATTTAAAATGGATAGAAAACAAAATCACTTTTAAATTAGTGAATGTGTCAAATTTAGAACCCTAGATATAAATAAAAAAAAAATCGTTAACCGCGTAAAAGGCTTTCTCCAGTAAGTACGATTTCAGAGCTTTGCGAAATGCAGGAAAGGATGAAATGGAATTAATTTCAGATGGCAGATGATTGTGCATTTTTTTTGCATTGTACAATATGGAACTATTTACTAACTCAGAGTGAGGGGTTGGCAGGATACATGTTATGCTCTATGTTCCTAATTGACAGCTACCGAACGGCTCCTAGAGGAATACTGATATGCTTGCGAAACTAGCAGACGGATCTTGAGTGGCGAGAATAGGAAGGAAGAGTTAATATTTTATATCTTTTAAACAAGTCCCAGCAGTGAGCACGACTGGTTAGCCTCAGTGAATATCGCACAGCTCTCTTTCGTAATTTGAAGATACGCTCAAATCGAGTCGCACAACACGCACCCCAGAATCGGAGATGCGACTCAAAAAGGGCACAATAGACTGTCCTAGATGTTGACTAATTAAGCACATTAGCAACTCATCTAAGTGCGAAACAGGCAGAACTTAATTTTTAGCTAAAGCATCGATGTACAAATCCCACCTTAAATAGTTGTCCACAACAAGGCCTAAAATTTCAATCCAACGACGTCAATGGGTGTTGGGGTATTATCAAGTTGGAAAAGGCAGCAACGTACTTTGCAAGATAAACCTTAGCGAGACGTTGAGACACAGATAATTAGAACCGCACCATGTTTTTATGTTGATTAAGTCACAGGAAATGGTTCATGTGAAACAAGTATCATCCACGAAGAGACAGATTTTACCACTGATGTCCAGATCCATCAACCTCACACGCTGTTAAGCACGTACCTTGCAGCCAGTTAGATGACAACAATGTAACGAGAAAGCTTTATAAAACAGAGAAAATGGTTGCAACGAGACGGTTGTTCAGACTGGAGTATACATTATTAAACAGCGAAAACAAAGCGTCATTTGTACATTTGTTACTCAAGAACCCAAACTGAAAGGGGGTGAGTATTTTGTATTTAGAAGAAATGATATGCTCTCTTTTTTAATCTCCATGATCTTCGATAACGTGGGAAGGAGGGCAATTGGACGATAGTTGGAAGCTTGCTCTTTATCATCTCCTTTATGCAAAGGAATAATTATCGCCGACTTAAGGCAATTTGGAAAAGCACCATCTTCAAATGACATATTAATTAAGGCTGAAAGATGGTTTAATGTACATTCCGGCATACTAGAGAACATTTTAAGAGTAAAAGTCCATCAGTCCCTAAAGGAAGGATTTATTTTTAATATCATTTAATGTATTGCGAAGCTCTGCCAACCCCACAGGCGTAAGTAAGAAACTGTGCAAATTAACATTATAGTCAGAGGGAAATGATAGAGGATCAATGGAGGGTGAGATAGTATTCACTATATTCTTCGCCATATTTACAAAGTAATTGTTTAGGTCCTCAGGTGAAGTTGAGTTTATGTTGGACGAAGAAACCTTACTCCTCAAGTCATTCATAATCGACAATGTTTCTTTGGCAATATTACTCAGTCAACCTCCTATTTTAATAGATGTCCTTGGCGGCTTTTATAGTCTGATGGTAAATTTTCCTGTAAAGTAAAGGGCAGCACACTATCCGAGAATTCTTTTTAGAAAAGGGAGATAGAGCGCATGTTTTTTAGTATTTTAGCCCTTGTCCAGGTTGCACTTTGACAGGCCTGAGAGGAAAGGCTTTGGATGCCAGACCAGATAATGTTTGTCTAAAATTCCTTGGAAAATTAGCGTCTACATCAACAGAGATGACATATTAAATCTGCTTGCAGTTAGACAAAGCTGCTTTTGAATTTATAAAGTTTTTTCCGAAAAATACGTCCTAATTCTATTGAAAGTGTTTCTACTCGGATTTGCAGGGAAGTGGTAGAAAATTGTAATACCCTTCATGATCAGGAGTAAGAAGCCTGAGTTCAACACAGTACAGTCAACCAATTCCGGATCAAAGGATGACACGACATAGTCCATAGTACTAGAACAAGTTCTAGTGATTCTTGTTGGTGCATTAACATGCATTACTACACCAAAAATCTCGAAGATAGATTGGAGAGATTCCCGAGCATCACACAAACTGGAGAAGTCAACAAGACTCATGCTCATTCATAATTTCTGAAGAAATGATATGAATATCTGCCGTGTGAAACCAAGGCCTTGCTTTCTTTTACGCTTCCTTCCTCTTTCCTTCTTCTCTCTTCCAAATCTCTTTTCTCTCTCTTCTCTTCCTCTTCCTTTTCATAAGATCACTTACCCGGCACCCAGACAAAAAAATCACTCCATCAACCAGCGCATGTATTTTTTCACAAACACGGGCTCATCGGTATTTAACCAATGTTCCGTTATGGCAATGATTTCAGGAAATTGAAAAAGAAATAATTCATCTGTTTTGTGTCTTAAGGACTGAACATTGATAAGAAAAATACCTAGCTTGCTATCGTCCGATTTATCAGAGGGTGCTTGATCCTCTGTTCGCGTCAAATGAATTAAAAAATTATTTGATGAGACACTGGCATTGTTGTGGCTTTCCCCTAGACTTCTGAAGGCAGAAATGGTCATTTATTTATGAGATGAAGCCAACTTCGACATGCTGGCCTCACCAACAACGTCCTATTCTCACACAAGTTATCATTCAACCCAGCACAATAATATTTTTCGCCTCCTGCTGCCCAAAGAACTTACTCGTGGAAACCAGATCGGCACATTATAGCGCCTCTCTCTCTCTCTCAAGTAGTTTCACACCGATTTGATCAAAAGCAAAAATGGATTCATAGTCCAGTCATCTTAGGGGTTTCACCTCAGAATTCAAGATAACCGGCTGTAAACTCGTGTGTATAAACCCTTTATTTTCAACACATCCAAAACATGTCCTCTTCAAACATGTGTGATAGCTTCCATTTCAAACATTGCAGAGTGACAAAACAAAACTTTTGTTTCAAAAAAAAAATTTTTTTTTTTTTAAAAATTTCAAACCCGTTTTTCGTGATAGAGTGGGCGGTGAGCGCAGTCTTTCATTATGTACGGTATCATCCAAGTTCAACCTGTAGTCTCGGTCAAAAACATGCCGTATAAAGTCCGTTAATTATTAAAAATATATTATTAATTTACATTTTTCATAAAACAAAGTTTTTCTCCCAATTTGATGTAAACCCGGGAAGGTTGGTATCTATTTAAGTCTTGACAATATTGAATATAATAATTTTTTCTATAAATTAAGTATGTCTTCATTTAATAACACTAACCTCTTTGTACAATTAGAAAATTATTAACAGAAATACTTTTTGCACTTCTCTCTCTGTACTTTTTAATTATAGTTGGATTTATACTAATTACATTTTAAGTAAATAAAAGACAAGAAAATACATTTTTAATTTATATGTCTATTAAAAATACGATTTCATACATTTCTCATGGTTGAAATTAAAAAAATTAATGAAATAAAAAGAACTCCATGTTCTTATTTTTAGTTTTCTTCTTCTTCTTCATCATCGTCGTCTGGTCGTTGTGGAATTTCAAATTCTTCTTCATTTTCATCTTCAACGACATTTGTCTCCAAGCCTTCTAGGATTTCGGGCTCAAATGTACCATCTTCAATGACATCACGAGACAAGCTTGCCCATTACACTGGCCACAAGCTAAAGAGCACGGCAACCCTGATTTCCTGCATCCACATCGCGAACCACAACCATTCTTGCAGTTGCAGAATATTGTGTTCAGCAATCAGTCCTGGGGTTCTAAATCATACCCTAACCAAGTCTGAACTTGGTAGTAAACACGATTGAAATTGTTGTGAACATACATTTAATATGGTTATATGTATATGTATATTCGACAAATTGTATAAAATATTATTTTTACCCTTATTCTACGGCTATGCCTAAAGAATTTAAGGTACGAAAAATACCATCAACATTATTATTCCTCTCAGAAAGATGGGTGATGCAAATAAACAGAACCATTACCTTAAGATGAAATTTGGAAGAAATAATAATAAATAAAAAAAAAAAAAAAAAATTTTTATTTCTTTGTAATCGTTTACTTTCAGACGCGATGTCTGGTTTCTATTTACTTAAGAAATGTTCATGTTTGTCCCTTTGCAAACCTACCTGAAAATATTATTAGCGAAATAGAAGGGCCGCCCGTGGATTTCGGAGAGGGCATTCTCATAAAAGCACGGTCACAGAAGGGACTGGGGACATCTATAAAAATTTTTCATAGACGTAATATCAAGCAATTCTATTTTGTATTAAAAGTTTAAAAATAAAAAGTAATAACAACTTAGTAAGAATTTTATTATAAAAAAATAAAGAATAACATTCCCAACAAGTGGTGATACGAGTCAAATAGAGAACTACAACATTTGGTGGCAGCGACTACAAGATTGGTGACGACGGTGGTCCAATCCAGGATCACGACATTTTCAGGCAGCGGTGAAAACTACCAAGGTTTCCTGAAGGTGCGCCAGACGCAGCAGAAAACCTACCAGTTTTGGAAGAAGATAGAGGCAACGGGCAGTTCTTGAAGGTGCACCAAGAAGCAGCAAGAAGCACGACACGAGACGTAGACAATGGGGACACTGAAGGAGCACCAGACGCAGCAGCAAGTCACCAGGGAAGCTTTTGTTTTCACCAGATGATGACGGGGTAAGTCTTTTCATTTGTTTACTATATTGTGACGCTACTGTTTTTCTTCTGATTTTAGTTAGTTAGATTTAAATAAAAATAAAAAAAAAACAGACAAAAAAAAAAAAAAAAAATATTGTTTAAAAATTCGGGTTGTAAATAACATTTTTTTTTTTTTCTCTTCAAACTAAAAAAATACATCTATAAAAATAAATAATAATTCTTAAACTGAAAGTAATAAATCAATAATAAAATATAATAATGGCAGGAGGTAAAGACGCAACTGATGTTCTGAATTTAATAAATTCATTTGATGGTCAGGGTGACGCAATTTCACTCCAATTTTCTTATAAAATTGTGATTCAATATTAAAAATTGTCAAAGTGGATCAAAAAGAAGAATTTATAGATTTAATTTTGGTACCAAATTAAAAGGGAAGGCACAAGAGGTAACACAATATAAACAGTTTCAAAATTGGGAAGAACTAAAAGATTTCTTATTAGAGCACTTTACTGATAAAACACCACCATCGCATTTTCTAACACAAATAACAGAAATATTTTAGGAAACTGTAAAAGAATATGGCGATAGATTACAAATTCTCTTTAATAAATATAAAGAAACGTGTCACATAAATTATGCAAATAACGAAGCTACTGTTTAATAGAAAATTTAAACTCCACTTTAGTCAATACTTTTAGAAAAGGACTCAACGATGAAAAAAATTCAAATGCGTATTATTGCCGAAAATACTACATATTTAGATAAAGCTTTATCATTAGCAATTGAAATGGAACTTGAGAATAATGACAGGTTTAAAACTCGCATTTTAAAAATATAGGTTTTAGAGCGTGGAAATAGACAATTAAATAATCATTCTTCTAATAATTCCTGCTTATTTTGTTTTAAAATAATCAATATTTAACATCACAGTGTAGACAGCTTAGGCAATAAGAACAAAATAGTAACTCATATAATAGGAATGTACCTAGCAATAATCAGACACGCCCACCGCAAAATTTTAATAGCAATAATAATTTTTCAAATAGACAAGACGTAACTACAGTACAATATAATCATGGACGTTTCACTAATCGAAACTACAACAATCAAAATTTTAATCAGAACAACGACGCGCGTAATTATAATCGTAATTATGGTAACAATTATAACAGTAATAACCCTCGTTCAAATTAGTTGTCAATAGATATTCTCAGAATCCAAGAAATTTTAATAACTCACAAGTTCTTCAACGGCAGCAAAATGTTTCGACACCTCAACAATCTCAAAAATTTTCTAATTACAATAATGAATCCAGTACTACCAATTTTAATAGTTCAAATAATAGATCACCAAAACAAATTCAAACTATAAATTCTCAGTCGTTAATCAATCCAGCAGAGATAATTTATTTCCTTCAGAACCGAGCACATCTCTTCTTCAAATTTTTCGGAAACGAGAGCGAAGCCTCGGTCGCGAGCAGCCGATTAAGCGCTACTTAAAATTAGATAATAGTTGTTCTATGAATTACACACTACTTGAGCATAAAAATAAAATTAAAATTGAGCAAAACTTAATTGACAAACCGCATAAATCCTCCTAGTATTATTTTCCGATAGTTACCAACAATTAGAGATAATTAAAATCCTTTCTTTAGATATATAAAAAGATAAAGAATTACATCTTTTATTAGATACAGGGCAGATATATATCTTATTGAAAGAATGTATCTTATTACAAAATAATCTAAAATTAAATAAAACTTGCATTATAGAAATTAAAAAAAAAGGTATATAAAAAGGAACCTGTATTTACTAAAGGTGTTTGTAACATCCCAATTAAATTAAAACAATAACAAAGCTAACTCATCCTTTTCACATTGTGCCAGATAGTATACTGATTAAAAGTGATGGACTATTAGTACGCGATTTTTTGCAAAAGCATAAAGCCAAAATAAATTACGAAGACGGAGTCATTAATTTTGAAGACAATTTTTTAAAATTTTGTTGTCAGAAGCAACTGCAATAATTCCCGCGAGATGTCAAAATATTGTACCTGCTCTAGCTAATTTATTTTCGTCCGAAGGCATAGTAGTTTCAAAACAATTATCCGAACATTTATATCTAGGGTTAAGCCTAACAAAAGTCCAGAACTATAAATATTTAGTTAGCATAATAAATATTTCTTTAATGAAGCTCAAACTATCCATACACCTAGAGGGAATGTCGAACCTATTTCTTTTTATGAGTACGAATTTATAGGAAACATATAATTATTACATTATCGATCGTTTTGCTAAAAAAAATAACAAGAAAAGAAATTAATCTAGACCAATTAAATGAAGAAGAAACTAATTCAGTAGTAGATATTTGTAGAGATTTTAACGATATTTTTTACTAAGAAGGCGATAAACTAACAAGCACCAACACAATAAAACACACTATACCGACAGAAAGTAATAAAGGTCCTATTAACGTAAAACCTTATAGATTGCCTTTCAAACATAAAGAAATAATAAATGTATAATGGAACAAACTGAGCAAAATGTTAAAAAGACGGGGGTAATTTCGCTTCTGACAGTCCTCTTGAATAGTCTCATTAGTTGTTCCTAAGAAAAGCGACCCATTATCACCTAAATTTAGAGTATGCGTTGATTTTCAAATGAACACATATCCTCTACCTAATATAGAAGAAATTTTAGACCAGTTAGGCAGCAAATCTCATTATTTTTACCTTGATCTACTAGTGGATTTCAACAACAGGTGTGTCGGATTAAAGATGTAAAAATGTTTAAAACCGCTTTTAGCACTAATACAGTACATTACGTTTATAACAGAATGCCTTTCGGCTTAAAAGGAGCTCCCGCCACATTTCAAAGACCCATGAACACAGTTTTAAGCGGTCTTAATGGTACGAAATGCTTTATTTATTTAGATGATATAGTAACTTATGCAAACAACTTAAATGAACATAACGATAGATTAATTGAAGTTTTTCAAAGATTTAGACAAACATATAATTTAAAACTTCATATATTTTTAAAAAAAAACATTTTACGAAAAGAATGTTTATACTTAGGTCACATTATTACAGAAACCGGCATTAAACCAGATCCATCAAAATTAACAAACTTTCCAACCTAAAAACTTAAAGATATAAAATCTTTTTAGGGCTTGTAGGATATTATAGAAATTTATCAAAAATTTTGCTAAAATTGCTAAACCTTTAACTTGAAATTATTATTAAAAAAAGATTCTGTTTTTAATTGGGGTATAAAATGCGAAAATTCTTTCCAAATTCTTAAAGATAGTATAACCTTTCCACCTGTTCTCCAATACCTAGATTTTACCAAAGAATTTATTATAACAACAGATGCGAGTAATTTAGCAGTAGGAGCAATTTTATCGCAGGGCAAGGTTAATCATGATCGTCCAATAACGTTTGCTAGTAGAACTCTAAATAAAGCAGAACAAAATTATTCAACTTCAGAAAAGAGCTAACTGCAATCGTCTGGGCAGTAAACATTTCCGTCCATATTTTTTTGGCACAAGATTTATAATTGTTACAGATCACAAAACCCTTACTCTATATATTTAATATCAAGACCCTGGTTCTCGTTTGACGTTTTAGAATAAAAAAACTTTACAACATAAGACTATGAAATAATTTATATAAAGCTGAAAGATTAATACAAATGCTGATGCATTTAGTAGAATAGTTAGCACAACAAAAGTCAATTCTATTATTACCAATTATGATAATTTTAAAACACATCTCGAAAGCCATATAATTATTAATTCCAAAGTCAAAGAAAAAACACAAATCTGTTTGAAACACCACAACTTATACCTATATATAGTTTTATTTTTTTTTGCCAAAATTATTCAACACCAACAAAAACGACTTTAAAATTCTAGAAAACAAACAAATTAATACTTTTTAGAACAGACATGATAACACAAATCCTTTAGACATGCTGTCAGTTTTTCAGTATCAACAAAATAATTGTAATATATTTCTATTAACAGACAACGAAAATACATTCAGTGATATTAATTATGAAAAATATTTGGTCTTGCTTACTAACTTTACGAAATATTATATCCAACGAAAACGAATCATCATTTACATATAAAATATCATTACAACCCATTAGTCAAATGGGAAATCGCTCTTCCTATGATAAGATATATTTTTAAAGACTTTGGTCCAGAAATTACAATATTTAACAACAGTCTTATCAACCCTCAGATGCTGAAAAAGTTGTATTATTAAATGAAAATCACAATTGTCCATTAGAGGTCATCAATAGGGTCATCCCGCACATATAAAAATTATCTCAATTATATATATGGAAAGGTAATTTTAAAAAAAAAAAAAAAAAAAAAAAAAAAAAGAGTTTATAAAAAATGTGAACTTTGTCAAAAAAATAAACAGTCTCGAAAACAAAAATGCCTATGGTAATTATGACCACGGCATCAAAACCGTTCGAAAAATGTTTTTTAGATATAGTTGGACCACTACCAGAAACCTAAAATGGTCACAAATACATATTAACCTTTCAGGATGATTTAACAAAATATATAATTAATATATCTATGAGAAATCAAGAAGCTGTAACAGTAGCGCATCATTTTGTAACGAATATTATATGCATTTACGGAATACCTGACATGCTAGTCACAGATCAGGGGTCAAATTTTTAAGTGATATTTTTAAAAGTACTTTGCAAGTTTTTAAAGATAAAAAGATCCAAACAACAAGTTATCACCCAGAGTCAAACGGAGCACTAGAACGCTCACATAAAGTTTAAAGAATATTTAAATAATTTCATTAAGACATCTCAAACAGACTGAGATAATTGGATTCCCTATGCAACATTTACATATAATACTACCCCTCACACTGCTACACAATTTTCTCCATTTGAACTTTTATTCGGACATATTCCTGCATTACCAACATCAGTTAAACAACCACCTAAAGTCAATTATACTATGATGATTTCATAAACAATCTTAAACAAAAATGCAACATTCTAATCAATTAGCTAAAGAAAACTTATTAAATGTAAAAACATATCAAAAAATACCATGATAAAAACAGTTATACCAGAATATTCGAAATTGGTGACAAAGTGTTACTTTACGACGAATCAGTTCGACGTGGCAGAAGTAAAAACTTTCCGCCTTATGGATTGGTCCATATACCATTATAAAAAAATATCGATGTAAATTATACAATTCAAAAAGGAAAAATAAACAAACACCATGCAAATAGAAAATATTTTATTATTAAAACTAAACATAATCAGTATATATAGATTATAAAAAACTAGAATTAATAAATTTTAATTAGCTTATTATTAGTATATATATTTTGTTTTAGGGTTAATTATTACATATTAATTACCAGTATCCTAGAAGTAGTCCACTCAGAATACAATATAACCACTTATGACTTGAACCCTGAAATACACTTTGAGCACCTTGGCGAACTAAGGTTTTTTAATAACAAATGGAAACTAGTAACTTTTGCAGAAATAGAAAATATTAGTAATAAGTTATTATCATTAAAGAATTACCGTAAGTATACTACAGATTTATGCAATAATGAGAATGCTCAATATCATCATTATTTGTCAGTTATTTTTGAAAAGTTCTAAATACACTTTCGAAAAAATTGAAAAGAACTAGAAGTCTTACACGAATTGATAGGTCATAGTCATTTATCAGAAAGTAGACAAAAAAGAGGTTGGTTCAATATTGTAGGAAAAGCAACTAAAGTTTTATTCGGCGTTTTAGATGGAGAAGATGCTAAATACTATAATGATAAAATTTCACAAATGAATAAAGACGAAACTTCAGTCCTTCAACTTTTAAAAGAACAAACAAAATTGTTCAATCAATGCAATAATTAATTTCAATAATACTATTGAAACTTTAGATTTTAACGAAAATTTATTAAAAATAATATAAAAAGATTAGCGATGAATTAAGCAAAGTCAAAGAAAATTTTCATTTTCTATATATAAAACCGGCATAGAAGAAAACGTCACTATTTTAAATATGATGCTAAATCAATTACAATTAGAAATCATGACGATTACGAATGCTATTTTAGTAGCAAGAAAGGGAGTTTACACCCCTCAATATTAACGCTATTAAGGTTAATTAACGAATTAAAAGATGTGTCCGAATCTCTACCTCATTGATTAGAATTTCCTGTACCATTAGATGCGCTCAATGCAAATCTCATTCTAAATGTTATCGAGTTAAAAAGCTTATTTCGAAAACAAACGATTAATATATATTATAAACATCCTTTAATTGAAAACAAATTTATTCTATATTTATAAAATATCAATTCTTTTCAAAAATTACTGTCAAATAACCAGTTTATATTAATTAAACCCTCATCTAAATATATAGCAATTGACGAAAACAAACAGCAGTTTATTACACTGTCGAAAATAGAATTTAATTACTTGTTTAAAATTATAGAAAAATAATTTATTTGCAGTTACAACAAAACCAGTTTCTCTTGCTCATTTGGCAGATAATTGCGAAGTTAAATAATTGCAATTCACAAATATCATACCTGATATCTGTAACAAACGTATAATTCGGTCAGATAGAGCAATTTTATTCAACTACAAACCAGTAACACTTGGTTATTTGCAATTCCTCATCCAGAAACTCTACGATATTTTGTAATAATAAAAAATCACGTAGATGTAATACTAAAAAATTGCGGTAGTGTCAATATAGGTAAACAATGTAAAGCTTATAGCGCATCATCAATGCTAATCCCTCACGGAAATACAGTCCAGTCCAATATTTCAAGAGATTTTATTCCACCATTCGACATTAGTGATAATTGTTGCGAAAGGATAAAGGAAGAAAAAATAACCATTAGTGAAATATTTCTCAACGAACATTATAGGAAATTAACAATGCACATCCCCGAACTTAATGTAGCGAGCCAAAAGCTAGAAGATATTGAAAAGTTAGGTGATGAAATTCTAAAAGGAAACTTGTAAACAATTATACATTTCCAGCATCTGTAATTGCCTATATCTTAGCTCTTCTTATTATTTTATTATTTATAAATTGTATACAAATTGTACTAACAAGACAGCCTGTTGCGGAATTATTCCAAACTTATGCATTAGAGTTAATCAGTCTGTGGAACCATCTTCTAGAAAAAGTGATAGATATGTTGCTCATTATAATCGTAATATTAGCCAAACTCTGAAAATGTAGGTAACTATGAAAACTCCGAAGAAGAGAATGATAATTTACAGGCGCCCTCGCAGACCCATTGGGTATGTACCATCAAGGCGACCTTTAAAGTATACCACTTCTGCATTTGATACATTTTTTAACCTGCAATAGTTATAAAAAAAATGTTAGTTAAGTTAGAATGTAAGTTAGTTATAATTAGTAGTTAAGACTTCATAATACTTTATATATGTATTTTTATTCATTTCCATCTGAGTTATACTAATTAATTATATAAACATTGTTTTGAGATTTCATATCACTTTCACCTCATGAAATCTCTCATTAAGGTGGGAGGTGTTGTGAACATACATTTAATATGGTTATATGTATATGCATATTCGACAAATTGTATAAAATATTATTTTACCCTTATTCTACGGCTATGCCTAAAGAATTTAAGGTAAGAAAAATACCATCAACATTATTATTCTTCTCAGAAAGATGGTGATGCAAATAAACAGAACCATTACCTTAAGATGAAATTTGGAAGAAATAGTCATAAATAGTTGCATCATTTTTAGTTTTCCTTTGTATTTCGTTTACTTTCAGACGCGATGTCTGGTTTCTATTTATTTAAGAAATGGTCATGTTTGTCCCTTTGCAAACCTACCTGAAAATATTATTAAGAAATAGTAGGTATGCCCGTGGATTTTCGGAGAGGGCATTTTCATAAAAGCACGGTCACAGAAGGGACCGGGGACATTCATAAAATTTTTCATAGACGTAATACTGCTAAATTTATATTTTGTATTAAAGTTTAAAATAAAAGTAATAACAACTTAGTAAGAATTTTATTATAAAAAAATAAAGAATAACATTCCCAACAAGTGGTGATACGAGTCAAATAGAGAACTACAACATTTGGTGGCAGCGACTACAAGATTGGTGACGACGGTGGTCCAATCCAGGATCACGACAAAATGTTCATGAGCTGCTGCACTTGTTGGTGGCAGATTTGATAAATGCACAGGTTTATTCAGTTTGGTTGTAAGCAAACTGAATAAACTATCCTAACCTAACCAAAATAACTATAATTATAATGTAATTAAAGTATTTTTGTTAATAATTTTCTAATTGTACAAAGAGGTTAAGTGTTATTAAATGAAGATCGATACTTAATTTATAAATAAAATTATTATATTCAATATGATCTTTTATGAAAAAATGTAAATTATTTATAATTATATATTTTTCAATAATTAACGGACTTTATACGGCGCGGCGTGTTGACCGAGACTACAGGTTGAACTTGAATGATACCGTACATTATGAAAGACTGCGCGCTCACCGCCCTCTATCTCAAAAACGGTTTGAGGTACAAAAATTTTTGAAACAAAAGTTGTAGAGAATTTTATCCCCTACAATATTTATAATAAATACAAATAGCGTAAATGTGAAAGGAAACGAGATATTTGAAAATTGCGCAAAAAATCGATTTTTGACCTTTGACCTCAGTTATCTACAAGTCGCGCACACGCTATCATATGTAGGTTTCGAGACATGTTTTAGGATGTTAAAATAAAGGTTTATACGAGTTTACAGCCGGTTATCTGGAATTCCGAGATTCCTACCCTATTTCGACTAAGATGACTGGACTATCAAGCAGTTCGACGAAACTAGTGAGTAAACAAAGTAGTGCTCGTTACAAAATCAAAAAAATAAATAGACATATGAGAGAATATAATTTGCTATATTAAAGATATCCTTTTTTAATGAACTAGTGATTAAATGTTTTATGAACACCTTCGAAAATTATAATTATGTACCTTTAAAAAATGTCTTTTTAATTTTTTTTTCTTCTTTAAAAAATATAGATACTAAATGTTCTTAAAGTCAAATTTATTTTTCAAGTATAAAAGGGTAGTTTAAAAAAGGCGTCCATTGATCCCAAAGAGACCTGGTTTGTAATACAAAAGCCAAAGAAATAAGACTCTAAGACTTGAGACCGAGACTTAGAGTCTTATTCCTTTGGCTTTTATATTATAAAAGGGTAGCTTGTAATAATATTATACATGAAAGATCATAAAAAATGAAGACATTAGACAGTTAAAGCACGGCCAAAGACGTAGACGTAAACGTATCGTTTGACATGTACGCTTGCGCAGTGTGAAATTCACTTGCGTTTACGGATACGTGATACGTATCTTTACGTGCCTTTACGTACGTACAAAACGCAAACGTATCGAGCCGAAGGAGTTTCGATTTTCACCCGAATGATGCCGAACGTACAAATTCACAAACAACTCATTTCCACAAATGGCTAGTAATTAAGTTATATTTCATAAATTTTGGGGCCAGTGTCACAGAACTGGGCCTATTTATTACAATAAATTAGTATGAAAATATTAGGCATCATAATAAACTCATTTTGGAATCTATTTAATTAAATGCTAGTTCTTATAGGCAAAACCATAATATGAGGATTCTAAAAGATGAAATCTAATAAATAATCATAAAGCTGTGTCTGTTTTCCAATATTTTTTTATTACGAAGAGCATTTTAAGTTGTAAGGACTACTTTCTGTAATAAAATAATTTCCATTTATAATTTTCTTCAGTTTTCGATAATACTTTTATAAATTTAATGTGGAATCAGTGGAAATAATAATCTGGAATCAGTGGAGTAATAGATATCCATTTTCAATTTTAAAATTAAATAAATTGTTTCACAAAATAATTTAGAATTACAAATGTACCATTTGCGTTACGTACGTCAAAATACTTGCTTTAACTCTTGTTTACACGACAACGCAACGGCAGACGTAACGTAAGTTTCTGCGTTACGTGTCGAGAGATACGTATACGTATTGTGCCTTGCTTTAACTGTCTATTGAGGCAATAAAAAACTGATCATAAAAGTAACAGAAATCTACTCTAAAACGAAGTATAAAAGAGGAATATAAACTTTGTTAGATAGCTGAAAATTAATCTCCTAAAGAAAAAAAAAAGAAATAATATAATAGAAAATCTAATAAAATACAATAAATACTAAGTTCTGCAATACCTAGTCAAACTCCTTTATAGTCAAATATAAAAAATAAGTAGAGTTGAAAAGCAATGATGAAGCCTATCCAACGTAAGAAGAAACGATTTCCACAAATGACACCCAAAAATTCACAATACTTTTAACGACTGTCACTGTCAAGCATTCTATCAATAGATATACTATATTATTATAACACACGTAGTAATTATTAGCTAATTAATTACAAGCTCAATATTTGGACAACCAAATTTTTTAAAGCTTTGCATCAAGGTCTTGTGCCGAATTACAAATAGCCCAATTGTGAAATATTGTGTTTATTCACAATCGGTGCGAAGTAAGTCTAAACAATGCCCACCTAGATAAACAGTTGTTAATGTAATTTAATCAGTTTAGATCTTTGTTTAAAGCTGATGAGATTTTAGATTTGCATCTGGAATGTTTTCATACATAAAAATGTTTTTCAATGATAAATCTAGCTACATGTTTATCTTATAAAGATTAAATTTGCATTAAACAAAATGGGACATCAGGAAGAGTAATAGTAGGGGAGACCAAGACGTCAAATGGGGATTTACTCGAGCATCGTGACGAGCGTAAATGGATTGTAAAAATAAGATGGTAAAATATATGTTGATATTTTACCATCAATCAAAGATATGATGTATGCCCTTTTACTGGTGAGAGGACAGGTGCGTGTATATACAGGGTTTTTAAAAATGTAAGAAAATAGTCACAAAGAAATACTTGGGTGTTTCAGATATTAATAGTCCAGGCGCCCCACGTACAGGGTGGCGTCTCTCATACGACGCGGAGGCTCCAAGAAGAACGACAGTTTGTATTGAAATTAAATTTTGTGAACATATGTAGGTTCCCCAAACTTCCCCAAACGGTTTGGGGACAGAGTGTCCCCAAAAAAAGTTACATATCAAAGTTGTTTTTTTGTAATGGAATAATTGATTTTCGGATTCTAGCAGAAAAATAATGTTGAGTTTCATTAGAGAAGTATATGACTAAAATGTATGGTTTTTGACATATTTAAGTAGTTTTCTAAAAATGAAGAACAAATTTTAAATTTCAATAAAAACTACCTGAATTGGAATTTACATAGTATATCCTAATATGTAATTAAAATAACTATTGTTCTTTAAATCAAACTAAAACTCAAAAAGTTATACAGGGTGAGACAAAATTAATACTGATCATTGATCGTCTTTACAAGCAAGTAACTATTTTATTTTAAATAGTTATTATTCCGATATTCAACGGGGAATTCATGTCTCTTCAAAATACTATAAAGGTTGCCTACCCTAACCTAACCCAAACAAAGATTTTCATAGTTATTTTGATTTTTATGATTTAGTGTCAGTAGATCTTTATTATTTGATAAAATCTAAGGGGCTGTGAGGTACGCTGACGTTACTTCAACATTTAGCCAAATTAGTTCACCTTAACAACTAATTTCATTTTGTATTAGTTAAACTTCAACTTAAAAAAATCAGAAATTTGCCGAAAATGGAAACTTATTCTATATCAGAGAGAACTGATATGATTCTATTAATTGGTGACAGCAGTGTGCAATCACCAATTAATAGAATGCTTAAATGCTCCTGATTTATCTCGTTTGGACTTTTTAATGGAGATATGTTAAAGACAGTGTTTAAAAACTCGATCAATTATTGTCG